GGATGCAAGCAGTCTTGCACCATGACTATGGAATATATATACTTCCTGTAGACTTATCACAGGACACAGTTATTCACATGTCCTCTATCCAAGGCCACATGGTGTGATTCATTGTCCACACTTTTCACTGTATTTTGTTATCATGCTCATTGTCATTATTTAACAATATAGCTATGACTCTAATACAACATGATGTGTGTCTCTCTTGGAACGGAGACACTGCTTAAAGCCGCATTTGTAGTAGGAACTACAGCACCCTCGGTGGGCGGAGCTTATACGAGTGATCTGACAGGTCAATATGACAGTATGATAACACACAAGTCATTGGTTCATGCGTAAACAATATAAATGGTTTTACTTAGGACTGGCACATCTTGTAAAATACATCACTTCTGCAGATACACATTTAGCTATTGCAAGGTTGCTTCATAATGCAGAAAAATATGGAAACTTGAGTCATTAAAACAAATGACTTATAACCATGATGACCTTCTATATATACCATTATAAAGTGGCACAGTACTATTCACTATTATACCATATAACTTCCATCAGAATGTAGAGACGTACTGTTTTGTATCAATATTAAAAGAATATAGCAATGCAACAATGTTAAATAGCTATAGTGTAGTTTTTATTAGCTAAATAGTAGAACATTTATATACATAGTATATATGGAATATAAAATAGTATACTATCAACACTCAGTCCAAGTGTTAAATACAAGCAACAAACAGTGCTAGTTAAAAATTTATACACATTGTACACTATTTCATATACAATATACACTGTCAGCACTCAGTCCTAGTTTTATATCCTGTCAGCACTCAGTCCTAGTTTTATATAACGTCAGCACTCAGTCCTAGTTTTATATACTGTCAGCACTCAGTCCTAGTTTTACATACTGTCACAATCAGTCCTAGTTTCATATACTGTCACAATCAGTCCTAGTTTCATATACTGTGAACACTCAATCCTAGTTTTATATACTGTGAACACTCAATCCTAGTTTTATATACTGTGAACATTCAATCCTAGTTTTATATACTGTGAACACTCAGTCCTAGCTTTATATACTGTCAGCACTCAATCATAGTTTCATATACTGTCAACACTCAATCCTAGTTTTATATACTGTGAACACCCAATCCTAGTTTTATATACTGTGAACACTCAGTACTAGTTTTATATACTGTCAGCACTCAATCATAGTTTCATATACTGTCAACACTCAATCCTAGTTTTATATACCGTCAGCACTCAGTCCTAGTTTTATATACTGTCAACACACAGTTAAAGTTTTATTAAGTGACAACACTCAGTCCTAGTTTTATATACCGTCAGCACTCAGTCCTAGTTTTATATACTGTCAACACTCAGTCCTAGTTTTATATACTGTCAACACTCAATCCGAGCTTCATATACTGTCCACAATATGTCCCAGTTTCATATACTGTCAATACTCAATCCTAGTTTCATATACTGTCAACACTCAATCCTAGTTTTATATACGCTCAGCACTCAAACCTAGTTTCATATACTGTCAACACACAGTTAAAGTTTTATAAAGTGACAACACTCAGTCCTAGTTTTATATACCGTCAGCACTCAGTCCTAGTTTTATATACTGTCACAATCAGTCCTAGTTTTATATACTGTCACAATCAGTCCTAGTTTCATATACTGTCAACACTCAATCCTAGTTTTATATACTGTCAGCACTCAAACCTAGTTTCATATACTGTCAACACACAGTTAAAGTTTTATAAAGTGACAACACTCAGTCCTAGTTTTATATACCGTCAGCACTCAGTCCTAGTTTTATATACTGTCAACACTCAGTCCTAGTTTTATATACTGTCAACACTCAAACCTAGTTTCATATACTGTCAACACACAGTTAAAGTTTTATAAAGTGACAACACTCAGTCCTAGTTTTATATACTGTCAACACTCAGTCCTAGTTTTATATACTGTCAACACTCAATCCGAGCTTCATATACTGTCCACAATATGTCCCAGTTTCATATACTGTCAACACTCAGTCCTAGTTTTATATACTGTCAACACTCAATCCGAGCTTCATATACTGTCCACAATATGTCCCAGTTTCATATACTGTCAATACTCAATCCTAGTTTCATATACTGTCAACACTCAATCCTAGTTTTATATACTGTGAACACCCAATCCTAGTTTTATATACTGTGAACACTCAGTCCTAGTTTTATATACTGTCAGCACTCAATCATAGTTTCATATACTGTCAACACTCAATCCTAGTTTTATATACCGTCAGCACTCAGTCCTAGTTTTATATACTGTCACAATCAGTCCTAGTTTTATATACTGTCACAATCAGTCCTAGTTTTATATACTGTCACAATCAGTCCTAGTTTCATATACTGTCAACACTCAATCCTAGTTTTATATACTGTCAGCACTCAAACCTAGTTTCATATACTGTCAACACACAGTTAAAGTTTTATAAAGTGACAACACTCAGTCCTAGTTTTATATACCGTCAGCACTCAGTCCTAGTTTTATATACTGTCAACACTCAGTCCTAGTTTTATATACTGTCAACACTCAAACGTAGTTTCATATACTGTCAACACACAGCTAAAGTTTTATAAAGTGACAACACTCAGTCCTAGTTTTATATACTGTCAACACTCAGTCCTAGTTTTATATACTGTCAACACTCTGTCCTAGTTTTATATACTCTCACCACTCTGTCCTAGTTTTATATACTGTCAACACTCAATCCTAGTTTCATATACTGTCAACACTCTGTCCTAGTTTTATATACTCTCACCACTCTGTCCTAGTTTTATATACTGTCAACACTCAATCCTAGTTTTATATACTGTCAACACTCAAATCTAGTTGTATATACTCTCACCACTCTGTCCTAGTTTTATATACTGTCAACACTCAGTCCTAGTTTTATATACTCTCACCACTCTGTCCTAGTTTTATATACTGTCAACACTCAATCCTAGTTTCATATACTGTCAACACTCTGTCCTAGTTTTATATACTCTCACCACTCTGTCCTAGTTTTATATACTGTCAACACTCAATCCTAGTTTTATATACTGTCAACACTCAAATCTAGTTTTATATACTCTCACCACTCTGTCCTAGTTTTATATACTGTCAACACTCAGTCCTAGGTTTATATACTGTCAACATTGTCCCAGTTTTACATGCTACCAACAATCACCCAGTCATGCCCGGAAACATTCCCCAACATGTCAGCTTTTTCCTTTTTCGTGATTTCCAAACGGAACACATGAAATTGACAGACTAGAATGGATGACATAAGCTGACATATTACCCCCGAGGCCAAGTTCACTGAAGACATTGCCCTGGCTCTTCTTGTGTCTCAGGCTAATTAATCAACATATATATATTTGCAGGTGACATCTGAAAAATATGAATAGGCAAGAGGGCGGTTTATTTTCCTCTCGGTCATTACCCGTGCACGGGTTCAGGAGTTCAGCATGTAAAATGCTCAAATGATCGAATTTGATGAAAATAATTTTCTAATTGCAACATAGATACCAATTGCAATATTTTTGCCTTAAAACCCTAAAAGTCAAGGATACAAATTTGAGAATAATATGTCATGAATATTGAGTCAAGTTTTTCTAATATGTAACTTGGGCTTCTCAACTGTAGCCTGTTTCAGTGAGAGAAGATGACACAACCTGGATGGTAGATAGAAAGTCACTGAAAGGATGAACCTCATCATCATCATCATCATCATCAGCAGCAGCAGCAGCAGCAGCAACAAATTATTTGTTTAATCATGCAACCAACAAGGACTAGCAGAAAGTATCAACAATCCCAGCTCTCTGTCTTCTGGGAATTCTACGTTAACAATTTCAACTTTCTTTCTCCTGGGAATTCTACATCAACAATCTCAGATATCTGTCAGTGGTGTCTAGGATTTCTACATCAACAATCTCAGATATCTGTCAATGGTGTCTAGGATTTCTACATCAACAATCTCAGATTTCTATCAATGGTGTCTGGGAATTCTACATCAACAATCTCAGATTTCTGTCTCCTGGGAATTCTACAACAACAATCTCAGATTTCTGTCTCCTGGGAATTCTACATCAACAATCTCAGATATCTGTCAATGGTGTCTAGGATTTCTACATCAACAATCTCAGATATCTGTCAATGGTGTCTAGGATTTCTACATCAACAATCACAGATATCTGTCAATGGTGTCTAGGATTTCTACATCAACAATCTCAGATATCTGTCAATGATGTCTAGGATTTCTACATCAACAATCTCAGATATCTGTCAATGGTGTCTAGGATTTCTACATCAACAATCTCAGATATCTGTCAATGGTGTCTAGGATTTCTACATCAACAATCTCAGATATCTGTCAATTGTGTCTAGGATTTCTACATCAACAATCTCAGATATCTGTCAATGGTGTCTAGGATTTCTACATCAACAATCTCAGATATCTATCAATGGTGTCTGGGATTTCTTCATCAACAATCCCAGATATCTGTCAATGGTGTCTAGGATTTCTACATCAACAATCTCAGATATCTGTCAATGGTGTCTAGGATTTCTACATCAACAATCTCAGATATCTGTCAATGGTGTCTAGGATTTCAACATCAACAATCCCAGATATCTGTCAATGGTGTCTAGGATTTCTACATCAACAATCTCAGATATCTGTCAATGGTGTCTAGGATATCTACACCAACCATCTCAGGTATCTGTCATCTGGGACTTCATACCTGGAAAGTGGTTGTTTTTTGTATACTGGGGCAGGACAGAGAAGAATCTTAGGCCCCCAGCCAAGGTAATGGTTCCTGACAGCCTGTGTGGGGTAATAGTTGTCTTAAAGCGGGACTCCTGAAAAGGCTGCATTCATAAACAAAACGAAATGAAAATGCAGCCTGAAATGTTTGATTTCAAAAGCAGTTTCTTTGATGAATGTCATCTGTACGTACCTCATTGTGATTCCATAGCGGCTTGTGCCTATTAGTGTCCCATGCTGAAAAATAAAGGTCATCAATCAGCGAGTGAGTCAACATCATTTATACAGATTGTTTGTTTGTTGTTTAATGCAGCTATATGACGGTGGTCTGTAAATAATCAAGTCTGGACCAGACAATCCAGTGATTGATATCATGAGCATCAATGCACATAATGGGGATACGAAGACATGCATCAACCAAGTCAGCGAGCCTGACCACACGATTCGGTCAGTCGCCCCTTACGACAAGAACGGGTTGCTGAAGACTATACCCTTTGTGACTATGTAATATTCAGGGTTAGAAACTAACAGTTTTCGTCCACTAGTCCTTATAATGATAACGTATAGCAAAACCCTTAAAAAGGGCAAATTTCTACTAGTCCTTATGATACCTTTACCATTGGGCAGTTTGGCAAGGACTATAGGACTAGTGCCAATTTCTAATGCTGATAATATGCAGATGCCGCATATCATATCCCACTTCTGATCTAACCTTGTCAAACATGCAGGTTCAAAACTATACCCTTACACTTTCCTTATGTTACTGCTCTGTCATTGACATCACAGCCCTGCCATTGACATCACAGCTCTGCCTGCCATTGATGTCACAGCACTGCCATTGACATCACAGCTCTGTTATTGATATCACAACTCTGTCATTGACATCACAGCTCTGCCTGCCATTGACGTCACACCTCTGCCATTGACATCAAAGCTCTGCCTGCCATTGACATCACAGCTCTGCCTGACATTGACGTCACAGCTCTGTCATTGACATCACATCTCTGCCTGCCATTGACATCACATCTCTGTCTGCCATTGACATCTAAGCTCTGCCTGCCATTGATGTCACAGCTCTGTCATTGACATCACATCTCTGCCTGCGATTGACGTCACAGCTCTGTCATTGACATCACAGAACTGCCATTGACGTCACAGCTCTGCCTGCCATTCACGTCACAGCTCTGCCATTGACATCACAGAACTGCCATTGACGTCACAGCTCTGCCTGCCATTGACATCACAGCTCTGCCATTGACTACACAGCACTGCCACTGACGTCACAGCTCTGCCATTTACATCACAGCACTGCCATTGACGTCACAGCTCTGCCTGCCATTGACGTCACAGCCCTGCCATTGACATCACAGCACTGCCATTGACTTCACAGCTCTGCCATTGACATCACAGCTCTGTGATTGACATCACAGCTCTGCCTACCATTGACATCACAGCTCTGCCATTGACATCACAGCTCTGCCTGCCATTGACGTCACAGCTCTGCCATTGACATCACAGCTCTGCCTACCATTGACATCACAGCTCTGCCATTGACATCACAGCTCTGCCTGCCATTGACGTCACAGCTCTGCCATTGACATCACATCTCTGCCTGCCATTGACGTCACAGCTCTGCCTGCCATTGACATCACATCTCTGCCTGCCATTGACATCACAGCTCTGTGATTGTCATCACATCTCTGCCTGCCATTGACGTCACAGCTCTGTGATTGACATCACAGCTCTGGCTGCCATTGACGTCACAGCTCTGCCATTGACATCACAGCTCTGTGATTGACATCACATCTCTGCCATTGTCATCACAGCTCTGCCTGCCATTGACATCACAGCTCTGCCATTGACATCACAGGTCTGTGATTGACATCACAGCTCTGCCATTGACATCACATTTCTGGCATTGACATCAAAGCTCTGCCTGCTATTGACATCACAGCTCTGCCATTGACATCACAGCTCTGCCATTGACATCACATCTCTGCCATTGACATCACAGCTCTGCCTGCCATTGACGTCACAGCTCTGCCATTGACATCACAGCTCTGCCTGCCATTGACGTCATAGCTCTGTCATTGACATCACAGCTCTGTCACTGACATCACAGCTCTATCACTGACATCACCGCTCTGCCACTGACATAACAGCTCTATCACTGACATCACAGCTCTATCACTGACATCACAGCTCTGCCACTGACATAACAGCTCTATCACTGACATCACCGCTCTATGCCTGACATCACAGCTCTGCCACTGACATCACCGCTCTATGCCTGACATCAAAGCTCTATCACTTATATAACAGCTCTATCACTGACATCATAGCGCTATCACTGACATCACCGCTCTATGCCTGACATCACAGCTCTATCACTGACATCACAGCTCTACCACTGACATCACAGCTCTATCACTGACATCACTGCGCTATCACTGACATCATAGCTCTACCACTGACATCACAGCTCTGCCACTGACATCACCGCTCTATGCCTGACATCACAGCTCTATCACTTATATAACAGCTCTATCACTGACATCACCGCTCTATGCCTGACATCACAGCTCTATCACTTATATAACAGCTCTGCCACTGACATAACAGCTCTACCACTGACATCATAGCTCTATCACTGACATCACCGCTCTATGCCTGACATCACCGCTCTACCTCTGACATCACCACTCTATCACTTATATAACAGCTCTACCACTGACATAACAGCTCTATCCCTGTCATCACAGCTCTGCCACTGACATCACTGCTCTATCACTGATATCACAGCGCTATCACTGATATCATAGCTCTACCACTGACATCACAGCTCTATCACTGATATCACTGCGCTATCACTGATATCATAGCTCTACCACTGACATCACTGCTCTATCACTGATATCACTGCACTATCACTGATATCATAGCTCTGCCACTGACATCACTGCTCTATCACTGATATCACTGCGCTATCACTGATATCATAGCTCTGCCACTGACATCACTGCTCTATCACTGATATCAATGCGCTATCACTGATATCATAGCTCTACCACTGACATCACAGCTGTGCCACTGATATCACTGCGCTATCACTGATATCATAGCTCTGCCACTGACATCACTGCTCTATCACTGACATAACAGCTCTACCACTGACATCACAGCTCTATCACTGACATAACAGCTCTATCACTGACATCACAGCTCTATCACTGACATCACCTCTCTATCACTGACATCACAGCTCTATCACTGACATAACAGCTCTATCACTGACAACACCTCTCTATCACTGACATCACAGCTCTATCACTGACATAACAGCTCTATCACTGACATCACTGCTCTACCTCTGACATCACCGCTCTACCTCTGACATCACCGCTCTACCACTGACATCACAGCTCTATCACTTATATAACAGCTCTACCACTGACATAACAGCTCTATCCCTGTCATCACAGCTCTACCACTGACATCACAGCTCTACCACTGACATCACAGCTCTACCACTGAAATCACAGCTCTATCACTGACATCACACCTGTACTATTGACAGTACAGCTCTACCACTGACATCATATTTTATGCCTGTTTCAGTCACCTCTGTTAACAATGAGTTGGGCATAGCTATAGCATACCCCTACTTTCCACAGCGTACCACTCAATACACCAGCAGTTTTGTACATGTTTGTTCACTGTTTAACGCCACAGTCAGCAATCTTCAAGCTATATGATGGCTCTCTGTAAATAATCGTGTCTGGACCAGACGATACGGTGATTGACATCATGAGCATCAATCCACGCAATTGGAATACGATGACATGCATCAACCAAGTCAGTGAGCCTGCATGTCATCGTATCCCAATTGCCTAGATTGATGCTCATGATGTTTATCACTGGATAGTCTGGTCCAGACATGATTATTTACTGGCCACTCTCATGTTCTGCGTGAAACAACAAACAAACAAACAAACAAAACTGAAGACAGACAATGGCCAATGACACAGGATCACATTGACAGTCTCCAGGTTAACTAAGAATTTTATCAGTACAAGAAGAGCAGTTGTATGTTTGTATTATTAGTACAGACGTGTTCTAGGATTGAATCCCACAGATACTCACCCATCCTTTCACAACCTCTTACTCACATAACCTCTCATACACTAATCCACTCACTCACTCACACAACCACTCACTCATACCTCTCACTCACTCACAAAACCACTCACTCACTCACACAACCACTCACTCACTCACACAACCACTCACTCATACAACCACTCACTCACACAACCTTTCACTCACTCACACAACCTCTCTCACTCACACAACCACTCACTCACTCACACAACCTCTCTCCCTCACACAACCACTCACTCACTCACACAACCTCTCTCACTCACACAACCACTCACTCACGCACACAACCTCTCACTCACACAACCACTCACTCACTCACACAACCTCTCTCACTCACACAACCACTCACTCACTCACACCTCTCTCACTCACTCACACAACCTCTCTCACTCACTCACACAACCTCTCTCACTCACACAACCACTCACTCACTCACACAACCTCTCTCACTCACTCACACAACCTCTCTCACTCACACAACCACTCACTCACTCACACAACCTCTCACTCACTCACACAACCTCTCTCACTCACACAACCACTCACTCATTCACCCACCCACTCACTCACTCACACAACTTCTCACTCACTCTCACAACCACTCACTCACAGAACCACTCACTCAATTGAATGAATCAGGCAGGCAAAACATGTTTTAACAATGTTGACAGGAAACCTTGGCAACGCGTATTGTTATCAATCTGATTAACCACTGATCAAGAGTGTGAGCATTGACTTACACTACCTGTGTAAGGAGACACATGTCAGAGAATGTTAGTCTCCATGGTTACACATCCATGTTCTCTTCAAACAAACAGGGAGGCCACCAGACCTCATCAAATCACTCAATTGAAAAATCAAGCAATTGTAGACCTTATTCAGCTATGATGTATCCAACTCAATTATAAGTTCACTTGTGTATTTGAAGGTAAATAAAACCTAACAATTAATTCATTTTCAAACTAATTCTCTCCAGAAAAATAAACATTTAGATGTCAATGTCACTTTTTACTTTAAGTCTTGTTGACTTTTTGCTATCATAAAAGAGGTCATGTATAGCAAGTACAAAGAGGGTC